GCACCACACAGAGAAATATGTCGTCCATCAGCACCACACAGAGAAATATGTCGTCCATCAGCACCACACAGAGAAATATGTTGTCCATCAGCACCACACAGAGAAATATGTCGTCCATCAGCACCACACAGAGAAATATGTCGTCCATCAGCACCACACAGAGAAATATGTTGTCCATCAGCACCACACAGAGAAATATGTCGTCCATCAGCACCACACAGAGAAATATGTCGTCCATCAGCACCACACAGAGAAATATGTTGTCCATCAGCACCACACAGAGAAATATGTCGTCCATCAGCACCACACAGAGAAATATGTCGTCCATCAGCACCACACAGAGAAATAAGTGCACACGTTGCAGTGATACGCCCTTTTGACGGGCCACATATAAATATATTAACTGTGTAATTACAGAAATACACAATATATTATAAATGAATCTAATACGTTAATACATGTAAACAAAAGTGATCTCATTTATATCAAATAAGGTATATAGAATATACATTTAATTCAAAATTAAGATATATAATTCATAATATAAGATTCATATAATTAAGATATATAATTCATTCATAAAATCAAATATATAATATATATATATATATAGTAATATTTATAATATATAAAATTTATAAAAATAATTATATAAAATTTAATTCAAAATTTATTGAATATAAATTTAATTCTAAATTAATTAATTAAATATTATAATGTGCAGGCAGCCGTCCTACCTCGAGCTCCTCTGCCAGACTGGCTGACAGCGCCTCTGCCAGCGTGAGGCGGGTGCTGGCAGCCTCAGCCTCGTCCTGGTAGAGGCTGGCACGGCTCACAGCTGACGTCAGGTCCTGGTAGAGCTGCCCTACCCGACGTAGCAGGTGGTCCCGGATCAGGGCCTCCCGCCATGAGTCCTCGGGGGCACTAAGGGGGGCCTTAGGGTCCTTAGAGTCCTTGGGGTCTTTCGGGTCCTTGAGGTCCTTGGGGTCCTTGGAGCCATTGAGGTCCTTGGGGTCCTGGAGGTCCTTGGAGCCATTGAGGTCCTTGGGGTCCTTTGTGTCCTTGAGGTCCTTGGGGGCCTTAGGGTCCTTGGGGGCCTTGGAGCCATTGAGGTCCTTGGAATCTTTCTGCTCTATCGAATCCTTGGAATCCTTAGGGTCCTTAGAGTCTACAGGACTTATTGTGTCTTTCGCGCCTTTGGAATGGGAATTATCACCGCACTTGGAATCTTGGGAACTATCGGAATCCTTCGCATTGGAATCCTTGGTCGCCTTGACGTCAGATATGCTGACGCGTGCCACGATGGAGGTTTCGTTGACCACTACGGGGGCTGACGCCAGCAAGGCGCTGACATCCACGTTTGTTGCGTTAGTGTCTGTGTTTTTTGCGTTTGTTGTCTTGCAAAGTCTGACAAGTTTAGCGTGTTTGTGAGCTAATAAATGATATTCAAGTCGCCAGTGTTCCCGCTGCTGGTGAAGTTGGTGCAGGTAGCTGTTTGAGAGAGAATTCCCGCTAGATTGAGGGACTATCGAGGTTTTCCCGCTAACCACAGCATCACTGGAGAAATTTTTCTCACTAGATTGGGAATCTTTTGAAGATTTTCCGCTAGATTGGAAATCTTTAGAGGGTTTCCCACTAGACTGAGGTCTGCCATTACTAAAGGAAATCCCACTATTGGTGAAATTCGATTCATTAAAAGGGTTTTCATTGGAGAAATTCCCGCTATTTTGCTGCTGTGGGTCATCATGGGGGGTAATTTCAATATTCCCGCTATGAACATCCAACAAATTCCCGCTAGAAACACTGTTGCCACTGCGCGTGCTGTTCGATGACATATTAATGCTGCTGCTGGGGGATGAAGGGGACGGAGGGGAGTAGGGCGAGGAATTATTCCCCAAACCTGGGGAAGAAATTCGTTCAGTTCGCGGGGACGGCGAATTTTGGTCGACGCGTCGTCGGAGGGCGGCGACGAGACGACGCGTGGCGCCCACGAGGTGGGCGATGGCGGGGGCGACACCCGCGTCGCCCTCGCCGCCCTCCTGCGCCGCCCACCGCCCCTGGGCGACGTCCAGGGCCACGGCCAGCGATGAGCACCTGCAACACAAGTCAACCGTCAGCCATGCTGTGGTGTCAGCCATGTGGCTGTAGTGTCTGCCATGTGGCTGTGGTGTCAGCCATGTGGCTGTGGTGTCAGCCATGTGGCTGTGGTGTCAGCCATGTGGCTGTGGTGTCAGCCATGTGGCTGTGGTGTCAGCCATGTGGCTGTGGTGTCAGCCATGTGGCTGTGGTGTCAGCCATGTGGCTGTGGTGTCAGCCATGTGGCTGTGGTGTCAGCCATGTGGCTGTGGTGTCAGCC